GTCATCTTGGAACCCGCGATGCCCCTGGAATGCCTCTGCCACCCGTCAAGACGGCGAAACGAATGAAATCTGGCGTAACGATGCTGGAAGTAAGCGAATAAACACTCGCGGAAAATAAATCATTGATACACCCCTTACTTTGTAATGAAGAATAAAACGCAAGACATTGGCGATGATATCTTAATATAACTTCTTGTCTTGTAACGAGAACGTTGGAACGACACTAGTAAGAATCGCTGTATACAGGGTTACATTCTTACGCGTATAACTAACTCAACAGTTAATAAATACTTAGCAACCCGCTGCTAGTTTCTATTCTCATAAGTTCCCGTCTAGACATAAACGCAGTCATGGGACTATTCTACGAGCCCTCATACGTGGTTTTGTTCCCCTGGTGCGTTGCAACATAATATTCTTGTGTAACTTCAATTTGCACTACTCTATATTGTTTCTTGTTATACAACATATAATATCAGGTTTACTTGCAAGATAAGTCCAAAAGGAGGAATCCAATCTCTTCGTACGAAGCATCGTTTTCGAGAAAATCGAGTTTGGTATAAGTGGAAACAGTGAGTACATTTTAATTCAATGACTGGAAATATGTACTTTCCAATCATTTCATTTCAAATTCTGTAACATCCAATTTAAGTAAACTTTTTACTATTCACATCAAGCGACGATGAAGCTTTTGTTGCGCGAAAATTTAATTTTGAAAATAGCTATTCGAATTGACTCTAAAACGTAGAGAAATGTAACGATCGAAAATTTTGACAGAATTAATCGCGTCGACTTTCTAAAAGCACTTTGCACTCTAGATTCTGTGGTTCCCTTTTTCTCTAGCGGCGCACAGCCACCTGTACTGGCTCCGGGTGCACCCTCTTTGCCGATCTCGCCCCTTCTTTCAAGCCCCGTCGACGTCGTGGTCGTTGTCGTCCCCTCGCTTCCTCCACTTAAAACCCAGTAATTACTCCGATGCCGGCATTTAACGTTCGTGCCCGCTGCGTGGATTTTCTGTTTTCCAAGCATCGCTTCGAAACTGTTGCTCGATTTCGCCTCCAGGTGAAAACACCTATTTTTGTTACCCTCCGCGGGCAGAAAGGATTCGGGCGTCGTTGCAAGGTTACCGAGTCACGACAACAATTACGCTCGGAAACTTAACGCGAACTTTGGACAATTTGCATCAGCTGCTAAGATACAATTAGAGGGAAACTGTGCAAATTGTACGGCAATCTGAATTAATAGAAAGCAACTATCTCGCTGGGAATTCTCGGGAAACCAAGGTCGGTGAGCCGAAGTCTTTGTACTTCCGGATGACAATTTCTTATTAACAGAAACGTTAGAAACGAAGCGGAAGATTCGACGTTGTAATTACGATGTAACCGTACCTGTCAATTTAATTATCTCGCGCTGCAAATAATGCTAAAATAATCGTTGCGTTCATTGTGAGATACGAACCTTGGAGTAACTGAAGAAGAGTTCAAGGAGAATTCATTAAAAGAGCTGCTTTTCCTGTTTATATTAATATTATTTTACAACATAATTTCCATTCTAGCAGTGTTTCGAAGTTATTCGGAGCTCCTCAGCTGTTAAACTGTGGCGACGCTTCCCGCGCTCGCCAACAGAGGGCTACGTCCAACCTGTAGCTCTCTCGCAAGTACTCGATCCACCACCTATTTCTACACATACATACACTCTGCGATGATAAAAATATGCTCTGTTTAAAGAAATACCAATGAGATTAGAAATTTCGAAAAATATGTACTCGAGAAAAATTGTTTTAAAAAACAATTCATTTTTTAGACTCGCTAATGAAACTATTAGAGCCTAATATCTGAACTTTGTATTACAGCGTTAGATGACTTGAACAGAGTTTGTGGAGTATTTGCAAAAGCTGAAGAATCGTTCCTCAGCACTCGAGCGTCGTGAAACGAAAATGTTTCGAGTATAAGGAGTTGTCGATACGTATCCGTCTTGGAGGCTAGGTTATTTATAATAGTAGAGGTGCCAATCTTCGGTTGCCAGTCACTTTTGCCTTTTCGTATTTACCCATGTTCTCCGTCACGGACGCGAGAATCGGGGGCCGAAATTCCCCGCGAGCCCACACGTGGCGGCGACGTCATCAATATCAACGAAGGCGGAGACGGCGGAGATTATTTTAGTTTTCTCACCGTAGACACGCACGGTGGCGCGAATATTCGCGAGACGCGAACAGGAGGCGAGGAATTCAGCGAAACCATCGATAAAATCGCGCTCAGCCGCGCGCGCCATTAACTTTTCTCGGCGATTGCGTTCCTCCCGCGGCCGCGGATACTAAATGCTTCGCATCCATAAATTTTGTCATTTTGCTGACAAGGGAGCAGCTTTACACTTTCCGCCCGGACCCTTCCGAGCGTCTTTATTCCGCGGGAATATTCAAGCAGATTATACGCGATGTATTTATGGCGAAAAGTCGGGCTTCGTAAGGGTACGCGAACATTTATCAGCACGCGCGCATATAAACGCGGAATCGTTTGCATTTATATAAAATTTCGCGTTGATACGGGAACTCCTTTGGCGAGGAAATTGAAAAGTCTCAGTTACTAATTCCTCGAAATGGGCATAATTAAATAATTCCCACGCGAGCACATCAAAGACGTCCTTCAGAAATTTTCCTTGGGTACGATTTCGCGATCGTATTCAGTAGGAAAACTGGCGGCTTTCCGGTTTCCGCAGCTTCGAGAACGAACGAAAGCCGCAATATCGCGTTGCTTCGAGTGGATTGCGCGCGTGTAAGGTCTATTTCGGCGAACGGTGCATAACATTAATAATGACACGTACATTTATAGTCATCCAGCACGCGCAACGTATTTGAAGATGGTAGGCCCAGATGCGCCGGCCAAGAATAGACTTATCAGCCAGATAAATGTGACAACGAATGCGAGCTAGCTTTACCTGTACGCCACGAAGCGATCCCAAGCGCCCATTATTTCCTTTCGCTATCTACCACAGATGCATCGCACTTACCAACTCGCCGCTTGCTGCACCAGATAGTCCGCTTGCATCTGTGCGCGCGGATTTCGTGCCTGCTATCCCGCCCTATCGCGGGACATTATCATAAACAGCCCGACCGACTCGAAAATAGGTTATCAGCCCGCTTGGAAATTCGATTAGCTATTCACCAAGACGTTCTTGATAACTTGTCAGCCCCTGTTGGCGAACGTTTTCAGAATCATCCTGTAACGTTACGAGGATTCGCCGAACACACCGTTATTACAATTACCATGCTTTAAGTTTGTGAGTTTTGGAATTCTCAGAGAAAGTCAACGTTTAGATTTTGCCAGGAAATTTTGAATTTGAATCGTCCGCGATGAATTTAAATGTGTTTTTTTCAATTTAATCTGGAAGTAATGTATGGAAATAGAGACGTAAGAATTCCAATGAGGATTTTTTGGGCGATTTCCTAAAACACACGACTTTCAGGTCCGTTGCACGTGTCCTTAATTAGAGAAGCGGCGCTACAATCTCGTAATCCCTATCTGAATTCTAGCATTCTGAAGGTGGAAGCAACTCCGAGTCTTAATTGGAATTTTGTGCTCTCCTGTCCATAAATATAGACATAGGAACATGCAAATTCTAAATCTCAAAAGTAACGAGGAAGTCACGTTCGTATCGTAAACCCAGTGCATGTTGCAAACTTTAATGGTACTTCTTCTTCGACTGCACGGATCCGTGCTTAAAACCTGTTACGTGTTTATAATGTGCTCTTAAGTTTATTTTATCCTGCTGTGCAACGAACGCATCACGTTCCGGAACAAGGACATTTTTCTCGGCTATAGTATAACGCCTACAGTAAAACCAGTAGGACGACCAAGAGAAGTTTCGTTGAAATTGTTTTGATCGGCTTCTTTACGACTACTATCCTTGATATCGATTAACTAAACTTCTGTATAATTGATTTATCTTGTTAGATGAATTGTTTGTATTAACTCTTTAACTATTTTTACCCTTCGTGTCACTTAAACGTTCTGAAATGAAAAATTTGTGGCGTTCGTTCGTTCGATGTTACCAAGAAATATTTTACAAGTATTGTTCACGTTGTCAGATTCACTTCAAATTTAACATATATACAACGTTTTGTAAGCACCAAACTCATCATTTGAGAGTAGAGTGATGATTCTTAAAATGAACATCGCTCCAGAGTTAGCACTTATCGTGTTTCAAAGGTTGTCTTTCACGCTTCACTGGCTCCAAGGGGGACACCCCCAGTTTGGATAGAAATGTTCAACTTACGAATCATCCCTGGAGTTCATTTTAAGAATCATTACTGTATACTTTCGTGGCTGTGTCAGAACAATCGTGACTCATACTTTAAACTGTGCACTTCGGGAGTAACATAAACCTGTCACACGAGTTAGTTTTCAAGAAAGTATTAACTGCACAAAATTGTGGAGTTTCTCGTGAAACGACACATAGAATTAATTGGTTAGTACCCCACGCATCAACAAGTCTCGTGACATCCTCTTTCCATCATAATCGTTCCTCCCGACTGTTATGATCGTGTTAATCGCGATCAGTGGCCGTCCGATACCGAAGATCAGTTATTCGAACGGGGGTCACAGCGGTTTAATTTAAGACGCGATTAGCATAATGTGCAAGAATATAACGCAGCTCGCATATCTGCGGTCGAGAGGAAACGCGAGCACGCGAACGCAGAATGCCGCGGCGCAGCTAATAAGGGGTCTAGGAATCCTTGGTCGACCGTCAAACGCCCCCATAACTCAGGATCAAAAGGGAACGACGTTCCATAAAACCACGGGAAGATAAGCGATCGCGAATACTCGCATCGCTATTAAAAGTGCCAGATGCCTCTCGTGGACGCTATCGCGATGCATAAAAACCCTCGATAGAAAGTTGAGTCGGCGATAAATCCAATACGCGTACCGTGTTTTCAGTAATTAAAAGGTCGTCCTTTTTTCACCCGGAGTCGCGAGTATGTTCCTTTCACGAAATACGTGGCTTACCTTGATCGTCGCGTGGTGGGATCTTTCATGACCATGACTTCTATGATGTCCCCATACTTGGTGAAGTACTCTCTGAGGCTCTCTGAAACGATAAAATAACATACTTTAATCCCTTTGGTCTCATCGTTCAAATCAGTTGATAAACACACAGTATTGTGGAAACGAATTCTTTTTAAATAGAAACAATTTTTCAAACCGATCTGCAGATTCGATCATATTTTACTAAGAAATGTACGTTTAAAATCTGTCTTCACGCTTTATGAATTATAAAACAATGTACAAATATGTATAGCTGTGTGAATAGGGTCAGTGGGAGTATTATATTATTCAAATGTAAATTTCACAATTTAAGTATTTATTTCCCTTTCATTATATTAGACTGGTTCTTAAAGGTCAAATATTTCATAGAATTGCAAATATTGTCTTCTAAAACGGTGAACACATTTCTACCCCCTTGTTAGTTTTTAAATCAAGTATAATTCTTGCTACATCGGTTGCCACAATGCTTTACTCTTATCACTGATTTTTGCAGTGCTCGGACACTTCTGCTCAAAGTTGACTAGCAACCGCAGCATTCGTCTTCCATAATCTCGAAATGTTTAAGAACCAATGTCTTTCAGTTATCCGATAACGCAACGAGAAGCGTTGAGCGCAAACAGTGAAGGCGATAGCGGTTTGTTCGATGAACTCTTCGTCAGGGATGATTTATTATTGCTCGTTATCTTCGCGAAAGCAGGGTCCATTTTCAGAATGCAGCCCGGTCGGGTCACCAATTACAGAGAACATAATGAAACTACCAGACCATTTCGTGAATCATATGATACGGGGAAAATTTACGAGTAGTCGTTTCCTGTCGGTTATCGGCAACACCACGCTCGTTACTTCCAACCTAAAGAATAATTTTAGCAAATCAGTCGCTATGGAGAGTTTTCGTTGAACGTCGAGGCCCGTGGAATTGCTGAACGCGAGCGCGAGGAACTGAATTCCAACGGTGAATAATCGCGAACGCCTTATCTCCCTCTTCCTCATTCAGAATCATAGCCGGCCTCTAAGCAGACCAGACCTTTTGTGAATCAAACTAGAAACGCCAAAGCACGCGAACCGTTTCGGGTTCAACGCGACGCCATTAGAACAGAGAACCGACAAACCGAATCCCAAGAATAAAGATAACTGCGAGTAAAAAGTTCCTTTATCAACATTTAAAACGCGGAGTGCACTTGACAATATTTGTGAGATAATTCGTTAATTTAATTTAATTTATTTCGTCTTTATAATAAATTGATCTTTATAGTTTGTCAGATTTGCTTAATAGAAGAGCTTTGTATTCTTAAATTAATATATAAATAAATAATAATTCGACAAAAATGTTGCCTGTTACGTAGAAGCGTCGCACGATTGGTAATTGTATGTCGAGCACATGCAATTTCGAGGGTCCGTGGCTATGATAAATCAATGATTCGAGTGGCCTGTGTTATGAAATGTTAGGGTCGAATGCAACGAAGGGATTCGTTAACGCTAATTAGAATTATTAGACAACAATGTAAGTCGACAGTACCGAGCGTAATCCCCGTCATTTATGAACACGCTGCGTGCTTTCGGAAGAGAGCTTTAGCTTAGCTTAACACCGTAGAAAATTAATTGCGCACACTTGACAAGTTAAGCCGCAACGTGTAATTAAGAAAGATCTGATATCGAACTTTCGCTCGCTTGAAAATTTATGGCGAGCCGCCGCGTCGATACCTGACACAGACCGTGATATAAACATTCGTCGGATATAAAAAATGATTTGTTCAAAGAAGGTGTGAACGATGCAAATCGTTCGTTAACAAAAAAAAAAAGAGAAATGATAGAAAACAGTGAGAAACGATGTACAATTGTTTCCTAGACGTTTAATGGTATTTCCTTCTACATCGTGTGTCGCGTGAAATACGCTTGCAGTTAAAAATTTATGGCTGCTTCCGCGTCATTTATTACCCCGCGCACTGTATCCACAGTACTAAATATTTCATTCTCCGTTGAGGAAACACATCGTATTAGTCAACAGCCTCTAGAGGGTAAAGGGAACAAATTCTTCCCTTAAACTTCCCCTTAGATTCTTAAATGTACATCATATCTCTACAGATTTATTAAAATCCGCGTGTGTGTACAGGGGGATGTTAGCACGATATAGCCGGGCAAAACATGAAAGATGCGAAGGGTTCTATTTTCGGAGAATAAATGAGATCACTGTTTTGGTCCAAGATATTTTGGAAGGAATTTGCAGAGAGTATCGGTTGCGTTTAGTTGTTACGTAACAGGCGTGATTGGTGTGAGTTTGTACGTGTTACATCAATTCTCAAATTCTATTACATCGAACTTCTAATTCCTTAAATATATTTCATCCGTACTGAATAGTTGAATAATTTTTAAATTATTTAAGTTCAGTATTAGGCGTAGGGGTAGTTTCATCAAGGACAATAAATGTTACTTTCAAGTTTAAAAAATGTATTATGCTTATAGTCGTGCGTTTTATATTCTGTTCTATAATTTCCAGACAATGTGTGATGTTCAAAATATGTGGAAACATTGTCACAAGAAGATCTTACAGCTATGCAACTGAACATTTTTATAGTATTCCGATGAATTTAAAGGGCGACTGATAACGTTCTGTAGAATATTTCGTTTTAATGAGAATATTGTATAAATAATTAAAATTTTTAATTCGATGTAATTATTCGTCGCAAAATCTGCTGAAGAAGCTTCTTTAACTTTTTAAACAATTAATTTCATTCTGATATATAGTCTTTCCTTGGTCCCCCTTTGAAGTTGTACCTATATTACATCGTTTTACTCGTACGTAATATTTTTCAGGCCCTAATTTTCACGAGAATTTCCAACTCCTTTAGAAACGTATTGACAATATTGTAATATGTATGTCGTGCGTGAAAATGCGCCATTATCCAATACACGTGGTTTGGTGGTGGGGCGCAGTCGGCCTCGCGAAATCTAGCGTTGAGCGGCTCTCTTTCGCTATGGATCCGTTATCGTGTCAACATCACCGCCTAAGGAAAGGAAAGGACCCGTCAAAAGGCTTCGACACGCCCGGAAAAGGATCTTCCGGCACAGGCAGCTCCAAATCCAGCTACAAGGCCTCTTCTCTAGTAATCAAGGCCACTACCCGCCACCTGCTTCTTAAAGAGAGTAAAACCAATTTTATTTCTTTACGATTTGATCGTCCCTTCTTGAACGGAGACACACAGAAAATATCAATCGTAAGCCAAGCGATAAATTCAGCTTCGTGGTTCATTTCGCCTTCCCGAATAATGTTAGAATATCCTTACCAAACTGTCCGCTCCCACCCGTGACGTGCATCGATATCAGGCAGAACGTGACGATGTAACTGCACCGTTAACGGTAGTTGGCCCCGATAGAAATTTAATAACGCATAATAATTTATGGGAGATTTAATCAATCTGTACCGTGGAACCGTTCCCCGAACGCGTCCGCGCTATCCCTCTGACGAGGGCACCCTCTTGACCTCCTTTATAAGTATATATCAAAAGGGTGAACTCTGGCCGCAAGCCAACATGGACACACTCCAAATATATCTTACACTCTATCTAATTATACGCTATTTTATCCAGATCGCTCTGAGGACCTCGTAATGCTCGGTAGTTACTTGCCTATTCGGTAGCGAGGCGTTCTTCGGCTTCGATAAATTGCAGATCCGCCATCGCGATATTCCGGCAGGGACAGTATCGTTGCATACGTTTCGGCTATCTTCCGTTCGTGACCGTCCCGTAACGCGAGGAGCAGGACAATCGCGGAAAGAAAGTTCGAGAAACGAACGGAATCTTTTAAATCTGAATTTTCTCCTCCACCGGAGGCGTCGGTTCGAGATGCTCCGCGGATACAATTAAGACGTAATGAGGCCACCTATTAAGTTAATCCTTTTTAAAGGTGTTCTGGAAAAGTATTAAATTCCCTCCGGCTCGTTACGCAAAGCACTCGAGAAAGCTGCAATGAATTATCGCGGTGTGTTATTAAATTTGATTGTTATATCCTAATGGGAAAAGGAAGATGGAAAGAGACAGGTAACGGGTCGGTGGGGGGAGGGGGGCGGAAGGGCGGCAGAGTGGAGCGCTTATTGTTTATTCAGTAGATGGCGTTAATCAATGAATTATTGGTGTTCCCAGGTCATTAGCCGCTGAATACCACCTGTTTGGTAACGAGCTGTTCGCATAAATTACATCATCCTACGGAATTAATTCGTGATACTTAATTAGTATTCTCGGGAAATTAAGGTGACCCTTCTTTGCCAGTAACTAACGGCAAGTAATTTGAATGTTGCAGTTATTTCTGCGGCGCTAATGACGTCAGGGAATATCCAGAAAGCGTAACTTTTTAACATTAGGACTCGGGGAAAATTCCCAGTTTAATTAGACGGAATGAAAATAGTTTTACGTGAGAGGGACGGGGGAGGGTAAGTGGAATTTATGCGCCAGAAGCGTATAGACAGAACGCGGACTAAAAAGTTAAGACGCCGGAGAATGAAAGATCGCAATCGCCAATCTTCTGGAGACGAATGGATGCGAGAACAAATAAAACTGTAGTTTGTTCGTGAGCTTTTTGTCCACCCCCCCCCCTTTTTCCCTGTCTTTTCACTTCACCTTCCCCGTCGAATTCACGACTGTCCGTCTCCTTCGTCTACCCGGACTATGAAAATGTCGTTAGAACCGAGAGGCTGCGGCGCATTCACCGATGCTCCTTTAATTTGTCTCGGTACGGATTGATGGAAGCAATTACGTCGTTCGCGAGGAGACACTCTTAAAACGTTTCTGCGAACCGTGAAAATTTACGGACATCATTTCCTTAATCGTTCCTCGACTGAACATATTTTTCATGTCGGGATTCCTCACCGATACATTCTTCCTCCGATGGTTCCATTCGATGGTATGAATCTTCGAGGGTGTTGCAGTAATTCGTTTTACAAGGACATTAATCTTATTGTTAGGTATTAGGAATTTAATTTAACTTTGGTCGATTTGACGGAAATAATTTGCTAATAATCATGTTATCAGTAGACTGTGGATATTTATGCAT